ATTGCCAATAAATCGCAAAACACCGAAAATTACAATTTATAAAAGATAAAATTTATTTACATGGACTAAAAAATGTAATGTAAAACTGAACGAAGGGAACAAATGCAACAAATTAATGAATTTGTTCATAATATATTAATAACATAACATAATATATTAATATCATAATTTGAACGAAATAAATACCTACAAATTGATAGACAACATTTAATATTTCATATTTATTGATTTATTATATTTATCATAGAACAGTTGAAAATTGATAAAGCAAATTTGTTATTCAAATTTAATTTATATTTTTATAATTTGTATGTGTTAATTAATATAATAATTTTATAACATTAGCCATGTTCTATTTCATATTAAATTCATTAATTTTTAATTTCCTTTATTATTTATACATATACTATTATCTGTATAACATTATTATTTATTGACATATTATATATCAGTTCACTTGAAATATCTGCAAATTGACAAAGGTCATTTTTAATTACATATCTAATTTAATAATTTATAGTATAATTCCCTTGAAATTCCCTGTTACCACAGCAAACACGTAACAGTAAACACATTAAAAATTCGTTTGCTAGCCCCAAAAAACCGCCAATGATAAAATCCATTTGCTGTTGTGTTCTATTTTAGCAAACGTCGCTGGCTTGAGTAGGGTTCTTAAGTCATTTAAATTCAGCTGCCTTGACACGCGCACATATGTACATAGCACTACTAGCAAACAGTTGCTGTTCCTATGTAGAATACACATTGGCTAATTTGTGTTGCGTGCCTGCGGGCGAGCCTCTTGACTTGTTCATTTGTTATGTAACTTGAACTTGGTGCTTTCATTTTTTAAGAATTTAAACTAGAGAATAGCTATATACATACATATGGATATACATGTGCATAGTTTTAGCCAATTTATATGCTAAACAGTTAAAGCATCAGGTGCGGCAACAGCAGCCTCGAGCAAAGCCAGACAATAAGCGCAAGTAAATGTTATGCAAATTGTCCACACACATAAAGTCACACACACACAAACACATTCCATTCAAACACATTCAAATTGAGTCTGTACTACTACTATTTGTGCTGCAGTTCACTTGGCAGCAAACACACATCCACACACACACACACACACACACACACACACACACACACACACAGCCACACATCACGTTTTCCTGTTGCTTCTCTTGAGTGAAATTGCCTTAGCCATGATAGCAATACGGTTTGCGTCTTGTGGTCGTATAACCGTATATTTATATATGTGTTCAAAAGTAAGAGCAAAGGGAAGAAAGCGAAACTCACCCAGATTTCGCTTTGAGTGCAAATCGAGTGTTGCCTACTTTCCAGCGCACGTTACAATTTTTGCCTGCCTGCCGTCACTCTTTCTCTCCCTCTCTCTCTCTGTATACATATGTGTGTATGTATGTATATGTTTGCTCGATTTGCTGCTTGCATGTGGGTGTGTGTGCATGTTTGTATACGCACATGTGACACACTGAGCAGCACGCGAAAAAAACGGGATGTGTCGAGGTCAGTTGATTGCCCTTGCGGCCTCTATGGGAATACCCGCACCACGCAGGCAATATTTGCCTAAGGCATGTACAGTTGGATATGTTAAAATCAAATCACTAGCTTTTTTTTGTGTGTGTGTGTGGAATATTTAATAAAAAATATTATATTTATTAGGCGTAAAGGAAGCGGTTCCTTACATTTTTTTAAATATAGATGCCAAACTACAAACAAACAAAAATCGATATGTTAACCACTTTAGCTTTAATAAAGTCCAAAATTAAATGTCTCTACATTTAAAATGATTAGGAACACCCATAATAAAGTTTATAATATAATCGATTCATAACACTAGTTATCATTGGGCGTCAATGCCTTAGCCAACCGCTATGTAAATTATTTAAATATAAAGCAGTAATATTATTAAATAATTACAAATCTTTACTAAAAATATTAATTATTTTTATTGAACAACATTTTGTAATTAATTATATTTATTATAAATTATACATTCGGAGCTAAAAGCACTCGACTTCGTTCGATGCCTTTAGTTAGCCCATTGTTGAGTAATCCTTGAAAATTACTTGTTCACATTTTATTAAATTCTGATTAGCAGAGCATTAGTTCGGGTATTTCTATAGTCAAACAATGCGCTTCGTCAGCTTTATGGTCCTGTGGCCTTTTTTGCTGTGATTTGGCAAGCCAAGTGTGAATTTTATGCTTAAACACTTAGCCGACAGCTAAACGACATAATTGCCCTGAAAATTGCTCCAGTGTTCATGCATTAAACAAACGACTTGGCTTGTCTAGGGATTTTATTTTTACGAGCCAAACAACATTCACGTGCGCGTATACTACATATGTATATACTTGCACACATACATATGTACATATATATTCAACTGATGCGAGAGAGCGGCGCTGCCTAATGACAAAGTGACCCCTTGTGGCATATGATTTATACCCCGCAGTTAGCGTGTGACGGGTTAGTTGATAACCGCAATTATATTACGGACGAAATACATTTTTAGTTAAACTAATTACAATTGTAATTATTGAATTAATTATTGCTTGTGTTAAGATAACAAAAGCTTTTAATATACTTATATACTTTAAGAAATCCAATTTGAATTGAGTCAGCTAGAGTAATTAGAATCAGACTCCAACTAGAATTTTACAAAGCATTAGCGCGCGCTCTATATGTAACGGAAAATTCAAATCAAGTTAGTTTGAATAATTTGATTTAATTTTAAAACGAAAAATGTAATATCTGAAAGGTAATTGAAATATTAAATAAAATATATGTTTATATATACATATGTAGCTGTTAATATCCCATAATATTCTCTTTAAATTCACATATAAATTTTTCACTTACCCAACACTAAATTCTCCATACATATTTGCATAGTCCACAAGAAAAGGACAAAAACACACACTCTCACGCTGCCGTTGCGATTGTTCTGAGAGTAGCTGTAAAACAATTGCACACTTTGGGGTAACGGCAACACTGACGATAATGATAATTACCACGACATTTACGAGCTCTGTTTGACCTGTGCTGTGTTAGGCATTTATGTATGTCTGTTTATGTTCTTTCTGCTTTCGACTTTCTCTTTTAAGTGTAATTAAAACGCACATTACAAAGGGCAAAGTGCTGAGCAAGCTAACGACACCCAAAGTGTTGCTACAATGCGTCGTTTATGCACTTCAACACAGGCAAACATATACACCCACACACACGCGCATCCTAGCTTTGCATACGAGGCAGAAAAACACACATGCGCATATATTTACACACACGGCTGCGTAGGTGCGACAGAATTTGCGACGCGTGAAACTATGCAATGGTAAATTAACGACAGCTGAGGCCATTGAAAAACTTATTTTATTTTAGTATCAGAGCAGCATAAAAACACACAGAAACACAAAATAATACGGGTATGCGTGAGAGCAATTCGCAAAAGTAGAACTAACCGTAAATTTCCCATTTTTGCGTTAATTGAATAACTAATGGCACCCAAAGTGCTGCCAAAATACATTACGCACTCTTGGCACTCACGTTCACACACAATTGACATAAAAAAAAAATAAAATAAACCATAACTGCATTGGCGCGACTGCATTTTACAGCATTATGTTACCGATAAGTGAGGCTCTTCCAAAACCGAATTGAATTTTGCGGTGGTTTAAAATTCACAAAACCACACGCGTATCTACAAACTGCATCTATGGGCCCGCTATTTACAAGCTAAACTGGGCTCAAATATGCTGCAAAACTAACTGTTTTCGGATCAGTTTTGCGTTCACAGTGCTGCCTGATAAAGCGTTCCCTTTTAAATTTCGCAATTTCACATTCCAGCGTCGCCACCTCGTCGAAAATGACTAAATCTCTAAAAAGGCTGGCAGCTTTCCCGTTTTAATTTAAAACGGTTTTCATATTTCTGCACCAAAATCATAAATTAATATTGCAAAGAAGGTCTACGTATAAACATTATAGCACGCATACACACTCACACACACACACACATGCTGGCGCAGACATCCATGCGTAAAGCCATTTATGCCCTTGTTGCAGGTTAAATGCAATTTTAATGCAATTCGCATGGCGTAATTTGCAAAGAGGTTGCCTGTGCATGACGCTGCGTCTGCTACGTGAGTTTTTTTTATTCATTAAGTGCTGACACCTTTCAGCTTTTCACCTTTTTCAATTACCGCTCTGAGTGGAAAGACAAATTATAAAAAAAATTAAAATACAAGCTACAAATTGCATGAATATTTATGTTTAGGTTATGTTTATGAAAACCATTGGATATTTAATGTGAAAGGAATATAATAAATATAATTTACAATGAATAATTAATAATGTTTCCTTTTGTTAGCTTTTCCTTTTTCAAATTATTTCAAGATGTAACCAAACTTAAATATAAACTATATATATTTCAGAAATTACACAAAACTAATGATTAAGTTTTCAAAAATAAAAAAATAAATGAAAAGAATATGAAAGAACTATAAGTCAATAAAAAATATAGGATAAAAAAATAATAATTTTAAATAAAATTACACACATAAACCATAAACAAACATTTAAATATTATTTATTTTTAACCTTCGACGAAGTCTTCATACCCCATAATTTTTGTTCAATTAGTCGCATTATTTTTTCAGCTTAAATTTAGATCATGTGCTAAACGATGCATTCAAGTAGTTATTATTTAAGTCATGGCATGTGAGTACTAGGTACCTATTAGGTTAATATTATGTTTCAGACTCTCATATTTAATGACTATAAAAACTATTCTTTTCTTCTTTTTTTTTATTTATTTGCATATATGTAAACACCTTTGACCACATGCGTTTTGATTTTCAACAATGAATCATTCTCGACAACACACAATAAAAACAACAACACAATACTGGAACTAAATAATACACCAAACACGACAACTACAACAACAACAACAAACATAATCATCATGTTAAAGGTCAACTGGCTGTTGGCAGTTGGCGAACACGCTTCGGACGTCTATCCAATAAGGTGGGCGAGGTGGATCCAACGGGCACCTTTTGTGCGGTGCCCGATGAGTGGCTCAAAAAGAAACTTGGTAAAAAAAAAAAAAGAAAAAATAAATAAAAAACATGAATTAATAAATAAAGAGTTACAATCAAAATGTACATGAAAAGAAACCGCAATGAAATTATATATCAAGTGGAAAATTTTACTTATTTTTGTATTTTTTTTTTCTCTCTTTCTCTCTATTCACAGTCGAGGCGGCGGAACCACCAACGGCTCGACAATTGTATAGCAGTAAGTAAAACTTAAGTTTATATAAAAACAAAATATTTTGTTAATATACCCTTTCATTTCCTTTGTTTTTTCCGTCCTTTCACAGTTTTCTTTGTGAATGCCGTGCCATTTGTAGCATTTGGCTTCCTGGACAATTTCATTATGATTATGGCCGTAAGTATTTAACAGACCATTTTCCTTCTATTTTTTATAGTTTATAATATATGATAAATATGGTGGTAGAACTAACAACATTTTAAATTTCTGAATAAAATATTTTTAATACTAAAAACCTTTTAGAAATAAAAACTTTCTGATGCAAATAATAATATAGAAACATTATTGAAATCGCACAGTTTTGCCAGAAATTGAAAATATTTATTCTAAAAACAAAACTATATTGTTGTTTATATTTTTATTATTATCAATTAATTAATTTGTAACAAAAATTGAAAATAATAAGGCTGTGCTCCAATATGAATTAACTTTATTTGAATTTATCCAAGTTATCTCTAAACTTTTTATTTTTTATTATTTACATTTTATTACATTTTTATATATGTTTAATTAATACCAAAATTATAATTTTAATGAAAATGTTAGAAATATTTTTGAAATATATATTCAAGCCTAACATTGCTCAGAGCGAATGCAACTATTTCTACTAACAATTTCTAATTAAGTAATCAATGCATTTTGCAAAATTGTAATTTACAGGGTGAATATATTGAAAGCACTTTGGGTCATTTTATAACTGTATCGACAATGGCCGCTGCTGGTTTGGGCAATACCATAAGTGATATTATGGGCATTACGATGGCGACCTACGTAGAGGAGGGATGCCAGATGTTGGGCCTGAAACAGCCGCGAATGACGCCTGCACAATTCGAATTGAAGTCAAGCAAACGAACCTCCAGCTGGGTGAGCTATGAAACTTTGAAAATTAAATATAATAAGAATATATATACATAAGAATATATAATGGAAATATTCAACATGAAAAAGCAAGAATAGACATAGTGCGGGAATTTCGTTCACACATAGTGGCAATTGAGTATGCAGAAGTCCTTTAAGTTCTAGTCCTTAACTGAAGAAACTTCTGGCTATGTCATCTTAGAATTATAAATATGTATTTATGTAAAAAAAAATATTTAGCATATCAAGCATTCACCTATTCTTAGGTACAGTAATCCGATGTATATATCCATATATCTGTCCGTTTTTCTGTATACCTGTCTCTCTGCTTGCCTCTCTATATCACAGTCTTCCTCTCTCTGTTGAACTGCCTAATTACAGAAGATCGTTCAAGTTATCTATATATGTATATGCATTTCTATTTGAGTAAAAGGAAGCTAGAATGCTTGCAGCAGCAGAGAGTGCTCTCATTGGCCACTGAAAGCTCGACTACACCGACCTCTGCCGGGCACCGAGCTCAACATTTGAGCGCTACAGGGCAGCAGCTGAAAGGCAGCAGCTGCAGCATTTCTTCAGTCGTCCAGGCTCCGTGGGTGTCAGTCGTTCAGTATAGTGAAGTGAAGTGAAGTGTATGATCGCTCAGCATTAAAGACTTGGAAGAAATACTTAAAAGACATTCTTTGGAGGAACTACTTAGAGGAAAATCTTTGAAGAACTACTTAGGGGAAATACTTTAGGGAAACACCTAGGAGAAACATTTGGAAAAAATACTTAGAGGAATAAGGGAAGTACTTAGAAGAAATACTTGGAGGAAATACATAGAAGAAATACTTAGAGAAAATAATTAGAGGATATACTTACTTACTAAAGGATATACTTAGAAGTTATACTCAGAGGAAATACCTAGAAGAAATGCTTAGAAAAAATACGATTACAAGAAATACTTAGAAATATACTTAAAGGCACTATGTACTTAGAAAAATACTTAGAAGAAACACTTAAAGGAAATACTTATTGGAAATTCTCAGTGGAAACAATCAGTGTAAACACTCAGATGATTACATAGAGAAAATACTTTTCGTAATTTGATTTGTTTGCTGTTATGTTAATTCATACATCTTAGATTATTTGAAAGACCACCCCTGCATAGGTCAGCGTACCTTTTAGTATGTAACTATCAACTAGATGAATCTTAAAACTAATACTTGGTATATATTTGCTCTTTTCTAGGGTCGCATCATTGGCATCACAGCTGGCTGCCTGATCGGAATGTGTCCCTTGTGGGTAATGAGTGAAGAATCAAAAAATAAGGCAGAGGACTAATTTGTCTATTTAGTGTAAATGTCTTAACTAGTGTAAATGGTCAATTTGAATAGAAAATGGGTTCGCATTCTGCCCAGAACACACAAAATTTCATTTGTTTTTTTTGTGTTTTTATTTTCCGCATTGCCACAACTATTGAATTTTAGGATCTTAAGAGATTAAAAGATGAGACAATGCTCTGCATAGTTCTTACTTAGTCAAGCGAACTAAAGTGACACTCAATGTACCTACTAACTAAATACTATTTAAGATGAAATGTGTTTGTAATTAACTAGGCTTTACAATTATATACTTTCTGACTGCACTTTTTAGAGAAAAACAAAATAGAAAAACCGAAAAACTCAAATTAAGCAATATATTTTCATTCTGTCTCGGATTGATATTCAAATTAGTGGTAAAAACTTAAACAAATTAATAAAATATATATGAAATTGACAATGTATTGTAGTTGCAAAAGGTCCAAGAAAAAACCAACAAAAACTAAGGAATCAAAACTAGCAAAATTTTGGTAGTCAACTTAGCTGAAAGTGAATTACATGCCTAAATCAATGGTCATCCATTAACGATTAGCGAAAACACCTTAAATTAACTTAATATTAATCTAAAGCCTGCCGAGTAGTTCATTAATATTAATATTATTATTTACGTCTTTCACTGTAAAGTGCCTCCGAATTGCTTTAACTATGCACCTCACTTCTTGAAGCTTTTCCAAAACCATTTGTCCAAAAAAAAAAAAAATAAATAAATAAATCAAAAAAAAAAAGAACGGCTTTAAATATATTGAAATTGCATATTATATGTAAACCCGTAGCAAGAAATAAAAAAAAAATAACATTATGTACAATATCAAAGTCCAAATTGTAGAGAGCTTAACAAATAAATATATCAAATTGAAAAAAAAATTTTTTTCAAATCTTGTTTAATTTCAGCAGTACCTAAGATCGCAGTTTTATGCGATTTTCACTAAGAGAAGAGAGTACTTTCTTTATAAAAAAAAAACATTCTCCCTTTTCAAGCTTTGAATGTTATAACAGTTTGAGTTTGATTTATTTTCATTTCAATGAACATCTCTGTTCTATGTATTCCCAAGAATTACGTGCAAAATCAAAGTCTAAAATGTTTTTTTTTTTTTTTTTTTTTTTTTTTAATGTTTTTATTTCATATTTCTATTTCTACTATCCCTAAGATCCTATGTAATACTTACCTACAAAGTGTCCCTTTATATTAAATAAAATTGATTATGTTAATTCATACATTTCATTATATTATCAATCTTTATTTTTCATTGTTTTTTTTTTTCCCCTAAATTACCCACTCACATTGTGAAAAGGGTATATTGGATCCTTTTAGAGGAATTCGAACGAGTGTTATACAGTCGATTACAAGAATTGGAATTATTACTATAAATGTTATTATTGTTGAAAAAATATAATTTATTAGTGTGCCAAACTAAATATTTGACACTATTGAAAGAATTACTCACGCAAAGTAAAACTGAACAAATTATGTTGTTCTTAATAAAAAAGAAAAAGAGAGTTGAAGGAAATATTGAAGCTCCTACTTTAGATGAACTTTGGCCACAGCTCCGGCCAGCGCACCAAGAACGACTGATGAGATATCGCTTCGCTGAGGACTTGCCAAAATACGGATGTGTTCCTGGTTTCATTCCAATTCCAATTATTTGCCGAATGACGTTGATCGCTATACTGCGACTTGATGTTCAGCCAATGTTCGGTGTTGTCCTGCTGCTTGGTGGCATAGTCCATTCGATATTTGGGCGGTAACAAAGGATTTGGGGGTCGCTCCTCGCGTTGTCTACGTTGTAGTGCAATCAGTCTTTCCTCGTCGCAATATTGTTGCTCCAGTTTCATAAGTTCGGCTTCCACATTCAAAGCATTGCAACTGTCATTGCGTGCAGCACCCGCTCGAGTTGCCAGCCCAACGGGCGCAGCATCCGTGGCATTGGGCGTCACAATGGGCTTCAGTGGATTGAGCGTTGGGTTAACCGGTGCCGTGGCATTTCCTATATCGCTGCGTCGATGCCATAGTGTGCCCGGCAGCTGGCTGGCAATGAAGAATGCGCCCGCAATTGTGAACACACTTGCCGCATAGCTCAGGGCCAAAACAGCCAGGTTATTTAATAGAAATTTCATTAACGTGAAGCTAGGCAATAGCTGCATCAGTTCACTGTAGGTTAACCAGCCACGCCGCAAGCCCTCACGCTGTGCCAGCGTTCGCTCTACGCTGCTCAGCTTTTCAAAAAATTGCTCGTTCGATATGTATATCTTCCAGTCCTGTCAACACAAACAAAATTTACAATTAATAATTACAATTCTATGTAGAAATATGATAAATGCATTTACAATAGCTGTCAGAAACTCGAGTTCCAGTTGTTTCAGTTTGTCCTCGGTCATGTTGCCCTCTTTTGCCCAATCCTCCAAATAGAAACGCTCATCGTGGCCGGCATAGAATTTCGTTGAAATCATCTGTAAGTCGAAAAGAACAACACAAAACAAAACAAGTTTATGAGTAACCATGTGATGTCACTGGCCAAAAGCCAAATACCAAAAATGCTATAAATAACAAAGAATTACATAAATAATGTGTGCATCGAAATGCAGTGCTGTTCTTAGTTATAATTTAAGAGTAAATGTGATGCCCAACCACAATCAAAATAATAAAAATCATCTTATTTTCTCATTATGGAATTTAGAAAGCGCATTACCCACACAGCTGTGACGTCACAGCTTTGTGCATGACTACCAGCCAAAAAAATTCTATTGTATATAACAAAAACTTGTATATAACAGACTGTATATATAACATACAGTTATATATACAAAAATATGTATGCTATGCAGTGCAGTCAATACGACTTATCAGTTTTAGCTGCCAGCTGCCCTCATTTAGTTTAAAATAAATGCCAAGCAACACAATGATCATACAAACACACGCTCACATTATTCACTCATTATGGGCAACGCTGCTGTAGAACGCTTTCGACTGTGTAAGTATGTGTGTGTATTTCTTCGCATTAGTGTACTGGCAATTTCAGTGATTGTGCGCACACACATGCACGCAAATATGTATGTATGCGTTATTGCGCGTAAGGTGGGTTATCAATCAACAGGTTTTCTGCCACGAGCTGCTGGCAAAGCGTGAACAACAAATTACACTTACCAATGACACCACAAATAACTCCTGTGGCGTGATTCTGTAGCCATAGCCGGGATCAATGCTATTCAAGCGATCCAAGTAGATAAGCGCCATTATGAGGGAGCATGGTGTTGCATGGGTTTTTCCAGCCGCAATTGAACTCAAACGATGCAGCGAGTGGCCGCGATGTGGCTCCGAGAATAGATCGGCGGCATATTCTGCAAATGGCATGGATACTTCCATATCCGCCTCCGTTGTGTCCACACCTCCATAGTAAAGCGTTTTTCGTATACGATTTATAAACTCGCCGTGCTGCATCACCTGCAAATTAAAAAGCAATTAGCAATGCATTTGATGTGTTACGAATAGCGCCAATTGCGTGGATTACCTTTTTTGGCGCAGATGAGACGAATTTACTTCGCCCCATTGGAATAAAAAGTGTTCTGCGTCTTTAGCGTGAAAATAAAATGCTTTCGTAGGAGAACCGTGTCAACGTTGCCACATCGACTAAAACCAACTGTTTGGTTTGTAGCTGAGCACAGCAGGGCTGTCAAGGCTGCAGTACAGGCATCAAAATAAATTTAATTTTATCTGCGGGCTTTATAGTAATTATCGAACAACAAAAAATAAATTTTGAATTCTAACTTGTGTACTCCTGCAAAGCCTGTCAAAAATTTAAAATGAATACTAATTTGTTTATTGTTTGGTGCGCGATTTGCCATTCTCACGTTAACGTTAAAACATATGATTCGACCATACTCGTTGCGTTTTTTTTAGAATCGCAAATCATAAATAAAGTTTAAATTATGTCGCGATTCAGTGGAGCGCTGCAGTTAACCGATTTGGACGATTTTATAACGCCTTCACAGGTGAGCTGATAATTAATTCAAAGCTATAAGCAATTAAATTAATGCGATTAATTTCAGGAGTGCATAAAGCCCGTGACAATAGATAAGACAAAGTCAAAAACTGGATCCAAAATAACCGTACAAGCGGATGGCTATTACGAGGAATCAGAGGTACAGAAGGTTTATAAATGTGTTTTATAGCTGACTTCGAATATTTTACAATTAATAGAGCGGCAAGCAAAAGCTGCAGAAGGTTGAGATCACACTGCAAGATTGCCTCGCCTGCTCCGGCTGCATAACCTCCGCGGAAGGCGTGCTTATCACACAGCAAAGCCAAGAGGAGTTACTCAAGGTGTTGCGCGAAAACGAAAGACTCAAAGCATCCGGCGACAGTGACAAAGTGCGCACAATTGTGTTTACAATTGCGGTGCAGCCGCTAATAAGTCTCGCCCATCGCTTTGAGCTTGGCGTCGAAGAAGCGGCTCGCCATTTGTCCGGCTATCTGCGACAGCTGGGTGCCGATTATGTGCTGAGCACCAAGATTGCTGACGATCTGGCGTTACTGGAATGCCGGCAGGAGTTCGTTGAGCGTTATCGGGATAATGCCGATCTGAGCATGTTGAGTTCCTCGTGTCCCGGTTGGGTGTGCTATGCCGAGAAGACCCATGGTAATTTTATATTGCCCCACATTGCGACAACGCGTTCGCCACAACAAATTATGGGCGTGCTCGTGAAACAGAGGCTGGCGGAGAAACTGGGCGTATCCGGCTCTCGGATCTATCATGTCACAGTTATGCCCTGCTACGATAAGAAACTGGAGGCGTCTCGCGAAGACTTCTACAGCGAGGTGAACAGCTCAAGGGACGTAGACTGTGTGATTACCTCAAGTAAGTAAGAAGCGTATTATATTCAACTATGTATGTGTTGTAAATTCGCTTTTTGCTTTCCAGTTGAGGTAGAACAAATGCTCCAGACAGAGGAACAAACGCTGCAGCAATTCGCACCCTCAGACATGGATTGGCCGTGGACGGATCAGCCGCCTGAGGCTATGGTATGGGCACACGAATCCACCATGTCAGGTGGCTATGCGGAACACATTTACAAATATGCCGCCCGAGAACTGTTCAACGAAGAGACACCAAATGAACTCCAATTCAAGGCGTTGCGCAATCGAGACTTTTCCGAAATTAGTTTGGAGAAGGATGGAAAGATCGTACTTAAATTTGCCATTGCGAACGGCTTTCGGAATATACAAAATCTTATGCAAAAACTGAAGCGTGGCAAAGGGCCGGGCTATCATTTTGTTGAGGTGATGGCCTGTCCGTCCGGCTGCATCAACGGTGGCGCCCAAGTGCGTCCCACCACGGGACAACATGTACGCGAGCTGACTCAACAGCTGGAGGAGCTCTATAAGCAACTGCCGCGCTCCAATCCGGATAATGCCCATACTAAACATATATATACCGATTTCCTTGATGGCACACAAACCGATAAGTCCCAAAGCCTACTCCATACCAGCTATCATGCAGTGGAGAAGCTCAACACAGCCTTAAACATAAAATGGTAGCAAACTATTTACTTTTGGATCACTGTAGATGAATAACAATTCAATCGTTACAATTGTTATTAATGTTTTTTGCAAAACAATACATACATATATCGGATGTTAAATATTTAAATACAAGAGCTAAAGTAGAACTATTTTTTTTTAATACTGCTATAAATTTCTTTATTAAAGATTTTATTGTTATAATAGAAATATGTAATTTTAAATTAAAAGATTTTAAATATATTAAAACTATTTTGAATGCAATATGTTTCTTATCACACAAAGCTTTTGGTATCGATGCCACACGTTGTTTTCAGGTATCGATAAGTCGATACCTCGTCAACAACCCTAATTAAATACACGTAAACCTTTAGCCGAATCACCAAAACACCATAATATGCTATTGAAAATATGTTTTGTACTGCCACTCATAACAATTGCAATTGCACTTGATGAACCACAAAAACTCAAGGATAAATCCACTAAATTGCCACCTTGCAAAGCGTGCACAGTGCTGGTGGAGTCATTCAACTTGGGCTTGGAGCGTACAAAACGAGGCAAACATGCCGGCGGCGACGCAGCCTGGGAGCAGGAGAAAATGCGTGCCTATAGAAATAGTGAAGTGCGCTTCGTTGAGATCCAGGAGCAGTTGTGCAGTGAGGTTAAACGTGGCCAGGATCACTGTCATATGTTGAGCAACGACCACGAGTCCTTGATTGAGGACTGGTTTACCAACAAACAGGACGAGGAGCCCGATTTGCATGCCTGGCTGTGCATCAATCAACTGAGCGTTTGCTGTCCAAGCAACACGTATGGACCCACTTGCCAGCCGTGCACAGACTGCAATAATAATGGTGGGTTATTTTTTAAAAATAAAATGCATATCTTATATATGTATGTATGTATATTATTTTCTAGGGAAATGCAAGGGGAACGGCACACGCAAGGGCAACGGGCAATGCCTATGTGACAGCGGGTACGCAGGTGTCAATTGCAACGAGTGTGATGAGAACAATTATGAATCCTTTCGCGATGCCACAAAGCTGCTGTGCACTCCATGTCATGCCGCTTGCGGTGATGGCGGTTGCAACGGCGCTGGTCCAAAGAGTTGTCGCAAGTGCAAGGATGGCTGGCGGATGGACACCGAAACGGGTTGCGTGGACATCAACGAATGTGTGGATCAGCATCGAGCATGTCGTCCGCAACAATTCTGTGTAAACAACGAAGGCTCCTTCTCGTGCCTGGAATGTGATCGTTCATGCGATGGTTGCGATGGTGATGGACCCGATATGTGCAAGAAGTGCGCCGATGGCTATCAGCTGAAGGATGGCAAATGTCAAGGTAAGTGCGTGTAAAACTATCGATAACTATAGTTTGACAACTATCATCATTTCTCTTGCCCTGGAACGGTTCATACAGATCTGTCCTCGCAGCAGCGTGATTCGTATGTCAACATAACACGATTTCTCACCTACTTCGGCATGTGCGTAGCCACCTGCGTCATCTTCCAGAGCTCCACACATATTGCGTATATCGTTGGTGGTGCGGTGGCCATCTATATAGCTGCCTCCGAGTATTGGCTGAATTGGACAGCGCAGGGCGGCGTTCAAAAGCCAGAAATAGACACAAAGCAGCTTGAGGATTTGATCATGAAGTCATTATAAGTCAGGAAAAAAAAACCAAAACAAAGAAGAGAAAAGACGTTTGGAATATTTGCTGATATATACGTTAATTTTATTCTATGAATAATTCGTAAATGAGCATTTGTCTGCAGTATTTAAATTATGTTATGTTTTTCTATATTTTTGTTTGTTTGCAGTCGCATTGAATACGGAAATCGATTCAGAACCGGAAATGGCGACATCAATGCGAGAGGAACTGTAACACGCACAGCAACAACTTAGTCAAATTTAGTTTAATACAATTACCAAAATGATTTTAAATTCAAAGTAAGAAATATCTAAATTGCCAAATTTGCGTTTAATTTCGAAGAAACAAAATTGTAGAATTAAAATGTAGCTGGTCCCATAGAAACTGAATTCTATAAAATACTTAAAAGTATTAGCAATGTATTTGAGCGAAAACAAGTAAAAAAGACGTTTGTCGATATATCCTTGCCTCTTTTTGTGGTCATTCCAAAACAGCTGTGAGCGATTCAGCGCCAATTTGAAATTTTTAACTGTTTTATCAGTAGAAAACAAGGGAAAGTATCGATACATCAATGTTCATAACAGCTGTTAAATACATTAGCGCTAATTTCCTACTATTAAAAATTTTGTATGATTAAAAATTTCCAAATTTTAATTTTAAAGTACGCATTTTTAAAATAAACAACATAAAAGTTAAAGCAACAACAATAAACAGTACAAGTTGATTACAATTTTTAGTTGATCTAGTCCTATTTTATACCATTTCTAACAGCTGTGCTACCGTCAATTTGAAAACTTTAACGGACAGTCAAAATATCGATATATTATAGTGTGCTTTGCATGTTTTAGACCATTCCCAACAGCTGTGTTAAAATGTAAGCGCCGAATTTAAAGATTTTACTGTTTTGAAGGGAAATAAGTAAAATCTTTATTTTTATTATGAAAGTGTGTATTTATAGTTACTATTTATGCATATTCTGTTTAAAATAAGCTGCATAAATTTGCGTCAACGATCAATTGAAATAGTTATTCCTAACCTATTATCCTTTTAGAGCATTGCGCATGTTCATGTCGAATCCATTGCCATAGTCAACAGCAGCGGCTGGAAATTTGGAATGCGGCATGTTACTGCAACACCAGCACCAGGAGGCGGCACTAGCAGCAGCAGCAGCAGCACACCTAGCAGCATATTTGATATTTGTTTGTGCGTACTAAGCTGCTTGGCCAGAAGGTCAAGTTTTTGCTGGTTATTCTCGCTGGCCGAAAAATCAATTTAGTTCTTGTAAAAAATGCCACAAGCTTTAGTTTCTCGTAAATAAACCAACCGTTAATATTTTCGCCTCACAAAATCAATACAGCAACGGATATTTGTTATTTGGCAACAGACTCGGCCACAACATAGAGCTAAGCAAGTAAGTAGGCTTTTGCGTAACCAGGCAAAACACGTAAATAAATTTTTTTTCTTTTTTTTATACCCTGAACCCATTTTCAATGGGAAATCAGGGTATAATGATTTTGTCGAAATGTATGTAACAGGCAGAAGGAGACGTGGCAGACCCCACAAAGTATATATACAAAGTGTATATTCTTGATCAGGGCGACGAGCTGAGTTGATTTGGCCCTGTCCGTATGTCTGTCCGTCTGTCCGTATGTATGAACGCGTCGATATAAGAGCTAGAGACTTCAAATTTTTTTTTTAAATGTCCGTAATTACAGCGCGGATATCAAGTTTATCATTAAAAATCGATAACTCATCCCGATCTTTTTTATCGATAAAAAAACCTTATCGAAAACCAGTTATAAAATTATATCTCCTACACCTTTATTGCTAGAGTCTCCAAATTTTTTAGGTATGCTTATATGCAATTTATGCAATTTCGGTTTTTGTTAAAATTTACCCCCCACCCCTATATCCATCCCCTCACCTCCATGTTTGTAAAAAGCGTATTTCAAATACTAGTGACTTGTGCTTTGGCAAATACATGCATATCCATATCATAATCTGAAAGTTTCATGGAGATCGTATGTCCACAAAAAAAGTTATTTAACAATTGAGTTCTCATAGTAAGCGCACACTGCAGCCCATGCGTGTTTATGCGTGGATGCTTGTGTGTGTATGTGTTTGTGTTTGTGTATGTGTGTGTGTGTGTGTGTATGCGTTTGTGTGTGTATGCGTGTGTGTTTATGTATGCCTGCGTGTTTCTTGTGTAAGCTGAAAGACGCGAAAAATTATTGAAATCGCTTTGGCTCCAAGGGTTCAGGGGATCTCGTAGTCGAGCAGTCTCGACTATAGCTTTCTTACTTGTTTTTTTATTGGAAGGTATAATCAAAAATTTCAAATAACATTAAAATAAGTTTCAGAATTTTGGAAAATAACAACAGAAAACACACACACAAATTTAAATGACAAAATGTCATCGCCTTCATCATCGTCAACAACAACTCAGCAAAAACAACAACAACAAACATATGGCCTAACAGCGAATGATATTGCATCCGAATATCGGCCCTATAGCGGATCAGCCGGCATTATGCCAATGGCCAACGAACGTCAACAGCAAGAGCAACGCGAGATGCTGGAACGCGAAGATACTTTGGAATACTTCATCAAATTTCCAAAACCCACAGCGGACAATGATTTCGTACTGGTCACCGGCAACGATGAGCAGAACAATGTCCCGATTGTGATGCTACTGGGCTGGGCGGGCTGTCAGGACCGTTATCTAATGAAGTACTCGAAGATCTACGAGGATCGGGGGTGAGTGGAGGACATGGGCAGCTTATAGCAATTATTTATTAATTACATATATTTATTATATATATTATATTTATTTATATATTGGATTCGATCTCAGTCTCATTACGGTCCGCTATACGGCGCCGGTAGACACGCTGTTTTGGAAGCGCAGCGAGATGGTGCCGATTGGTGAAAAGATCCTGAAGCTCATACAGGACATGAATTTCGATGCACATCCCTTAATATTTCACATCTTTTCGAACGGTGGTGCCTATCTTTATCAGCACATCAATTTGGCCGTGCGCAAGCACAAATCCCCATTGCAAGTGCGCGGCGTCATCTTTGATTCGGCGCCAGGTGAGAGACGTATGCTCGGTTTATACCGTGCCATCAATGCAATTTATGGCAAGGAGAAACGCTGCAATTGCGTCACGGCATTGATCATTACGTTGACCCTGAGCATTATGTGGTTTGTTGAGGTGAGCCATGCCCCCTACACCTTGCTCATACCCCCTGCTCTCTACCCTTTGCCCCACCCCATCTTCTAATACACCAATTGTCATTCGCAGGAAACGTTTGTGGCTTTTAAGAGTTTGTTTGTCCCTTCAACGCCTGTCCATGCGAGCCCGTTCAGTGAGCTCAAGAACGAGACGAACAAATATCCTCAATTGTTTTTGTATTCGAAAAGTGATGTTGTCATACCATATCGAGACGTTGAGAAATTTATACGAATACGACGCGATCAGGGCATCAATGTGTCATCCGTGTGCTTTGAGGATGCGGAACATGTTAAAATCTTTACCAAATACCCAACACAATATGTGCAGAGTGTGTGTAGTTTTATCAAGAACTGTATGGCTAATACTCGAACGTCCTATCAACTAACTGGCGATGTCATCGATGCACAAACCATGGCACAGCAACAACATCAGCAGCATCAGCATCAGTCAAATTTGAAATACGATTAGAAAAAATGCAAAAATTTGAAAATTTTATTATTTGCAAATTCTAGGACCGCGCGCAAAGGATAACAACGCATCAAGCACGTATGTGATAGGCAGCACAACTATTATAGACAAAACTTACTACTACAGTCGACTCTCGTTATTTCGAAATTCAAGGGAAATATGAGTACGAATTACCGCGTCTTAGCAATGATTTTTAGTTCGAATTACTGAGTGATAACTTTGAATTAATGATACAAACACAATACAGTCGACTCTTGTTATTTCAAACCTGCGTTATTTCGAACCTCTCATTAATTCAAAGGTATCACTCAGTAATTCGAACTAAAAATCATTGCTAAGACTTGATTGGCAACAACATTGCAAAAATTTTAAACGTAACTATTGAAAACAAAACCAAAAAAAAAAAAAAAAAAGAAATATGAACAAATTTAATGCAGTTGACCGCTTGGCGCCCGCTGCCGCTTTAATGTAGAAACGAATTTAACAGTTACTCGAATCTAAAAAAAAAGTGTACATTCTTATATTTTCCCCCCTCCTTGACAAAGTGCACAAAACAAGCGCAAATAAAATAATTTATCATAATTTTTAATTCGCGCACGAGTTTAAATTTAAAATTACCATTCTCTTTCGAATGACAGCTCACTGCTATAGCACTGGTCAGGGTGATGTGCAATTATCGAAATGTTGTGGCGCAATCGTTTATATTCGATAAGTTTTGGCGAGTCGCCATCTTGGAATGTGCGAAGAAGAAGAAGCGAACAAAAAGCAAGCGAAAAATCTTTAAGCGTATTTATTTAAATGTATAAATTGCGTAAATCTATATACTTAAGACCAAGCACACATATTTATTGCTCCACTCATCAATACAAAAGAAATCCCAGCACAGCTGCCACGTTGCGTTTGCCCAAAAAGGCTTAGCCACAAAAAAAAATCGAAATCTCCGACGGCCCGAAGGTATCACACACATACACACGTACACTCACATATATACACAGTCGACCACATATATTAGTGCAAGCAAAAGAGGCAGAAGAAGCAAAGCCAGGCAGAGAGTGTTTTTCCATACAATTCGGTGAAGCTACTTGGATCTAAGGTAAATATAACAACGCCTGCCCACTAATCATACGCTTCGGTGTGTGTGACCAAATAATGGAAATGATTTTGCCGCCGCCAACGCCACAAATGCCGCGGCACACGTCGAAACAACGATGCACACGCTGGTGTGCGTCTGTGTGTGTTTATACATGTGTGTGCGCAATTAATGCATATTTAACATTGATCCATTTATGTTGCAGACGCCGTTGCCGACTTCTGGTCAGGCACAAACAGCGCACAGCAGAAGCAGCAGCAGCAACAGTGATTGTGCTGCGGGCAGGTGATATAACTAAACAATCGCGACAGCTTGTAGCGGACTATGTCTGACTATTTGCGCCAGCAGAAACCACTAGAGCACACATAGCCATGGCTGCGACGAGAAAATTGCAAGGTAAGCACAATTCTCCATATACATACATAGGTAGAGATGTATGTATGTATGTATTTATTTGATATGATGTGGGTTCAAATACTGATACTGTGCACATTATCGATATACCCTCGATAGGCGAAATTGATCGATGTTTAAAAAAGGTAGGCGAGGGCGTGGAAACGTTTGAGGATATATGGAAAAAGGTACACAATGCTACAAATACCAACCAGAAGGTGAGCAAATAACACCATCTAAATTTAATATCTCTCTTCAATATATACCTATATTCATGTCTATCCTATTTGCAGCAAAAGCATCTGCAAGAAAAGTATGAGGCAGACCTTAAAAAGGAAATTAAGAAACTGCAGCGATTACGAGATCAAATCAAATCATGGATTGCATCCGCCGAGATTAAAGATAAAAGCGCGCTGCTCGAGAATCGAAGGCTCATTGAAACGGCAAGTTGTTTAAACCTAAAATTGGAATACAAAAGAATGTCGCCTCCATCAATATTGAGCAATAATCAATCCACAGATCACCTTTAGTCCTATGTCTTTTTTGATCCACATCACTAAATTAATCTGTGGTTTCAGTTCCAAAAATACACAATTTAATTTTATATTAAAGAATGTTGCGACATAGCTTAGCGATAAACTATTTGCAATTTCTCGCGGCGACTTGAAATTCCAATCGCTCCATATTAATTTTAATTATTTTCAAATCACCTACAGCAAATGGAACGCTTCAAGGTGGTGGAGCGGGAAACAAAAACCAAAGCGTATTCCAAGGAGGGTCTGGGCGCCGCACAAAAAATGGATCCAGCGCAACGGATCAAGGATCATGCGCGCAATTGGTTAACCGGTTCAATTAGTACACTTCAAATTCAAATCGATCAGTATGAGAGCGAAATTGAGTCGCTGTTAGCGGGTAAAAAGAAACGGCTGGATCGCGATAAACAGGAGCGCATGGATGATTTGCGGAGTAAGTTGGATCGTCATAAATTCCACATAACCAAACTGGAAACGTTGCTGCGACTGCTGGACAACGATGGTGTCGAGGCGGATCAAGTGAACAAAATCAAAGATGATGTCGAATACTATATCGATTCGTCGCAAGAGCCCGATTTCGAGGAGAACGAGTTCATCTACGATGACATTATCGGACTGGATGAAGTCGAGCTGAGCGGTACGGCCACAACGGATAGCAACAATAGCAACGAAACGAGCGGCTCGCCCAGCAGTGTAACATCCGGCGGCAGTCCATCGCAATCGCCAGTTACAGTGCAGCAGGTGTTGCCATCCTCCTCCTCCTCCGCACAGCAGCAGCAGACGTCAACGGCGGGCAGCAGCAGCGCAGGCAGTGGCACCAGCGCCGCTAGTGCAGCCCAATTCCAGCATTTGCAAGCAGCCGCAGCGGCGGCGGCAGCAGCCGTCGCTGCACAGCAATCGAATGGCAACAATGTGGGCTATGCGAGCGACACCAGCGCAGCTTCATCCTCAGCGACAACGTCAACCGAGGCGACAACAGGTGGCGAGAAGCGCAACAAAAGTAGCGAAAGCAATGCGAATAGCAGCAAAGCGAAGGTAAGTGTTTGCTACTAAATAAACTAAACTAACTAATGATCGTGTGGTATGGGCTGTATATATTATTTATTTGAACGAATTAATTGTTGTCCAATTGAGGTTGTGTCTGGAAAGAAAAATATATTTAATGGCCTCGAATAACATAAATTTCCTTCTATATTAATAGCAAATTTAGAGAAATAGATCAAGAAGAGGAGGATATGAACGCTCTAAATTAACAGAATAAATTATGATCCTTTTTTTATTGTTAGCACATCTGCTCAGATATCTAGACAATTAACGACATTTAATTCAGGCGAATTTTCTCATATACATATTATATATTTTCTCATATACATATTCTCTCATATTATTATATATTTTAGAATATTTCAAAGTGTAGTGACTAGTAAATTATATGTGAATAAAATAGCAGTATATGTTTACATAAAATACAAATTAATATATAATTTACCCAATTTTTTTTTTCAAATATTTAACATATATTTTTAATTACATTTTCATTTTTACCACAGCAACCTCAACAGCCGATCAAGCCGACGCCAGTGCGTGCCACAGCTAAAGCGCCCGCGGGTAGTGATAGTAAGTTGCAAAGCTTTATATCAATTGGAGTGTTAACTTACTAATGGACTAAATTCTATTAGCAGCTCAAGTCAATAAGATTATTAGCTCAACGCCCAGCAAAAACCAGCAGCAGCAACTACCCACGGTCGCTTCCGTTTTGGCGTCTAGCGGGACACAGAACAACAACAATAACAGCAGCAACAATAACAACAACAGCAGCAGCAGCAGCATTGTCGCTGCTAGTGGTCACAATCCTGCCGTGCAGCCACATGCCCCAACGCCTGGTCTGAGTGCAACCAACATCGCTGTGCCAGCAGCAACAGCAGCGGCGGCAGCCGTTGCAGCTGTTGCAGCAACAGCGTCAGCGAGCAACAGCAGCAATAACATTCAAGGCCAATCTGTGATTCAAGCGACACCAACAATTGCATTTGCAGCGGTGGCTAAACACAACACATGTACGTCCAAAATACTTTCTAAATATGTTACAATTTATTCTAATTATAATTTGTATTTCTAGCACTACTGGAAAACGGACCTGTCTCGCAGCAGCAGGCAACGGCGCCGACGGTGGCGGCCATTGTAAGCGCAAATGCACAGGCCCAACAACAACAGCAACAGCAGCAACAGGCAGCGCAATTATCCAATCTTCAAACGAATTCCTCACACATGCAAAACGGTAATATATTTGGATTTAAAATGAGCCAATGGCTTAACCATGGTTTGGTTATAGTTTTTAACAGTTGATAATTGTAATAGTTTTGATCAATGAATAATCATTGATAGTAATCAATGAAATTCGCTTAGTTATAAAAATCGGTCAATATTAGCAACCAGAAACCTAAACATGAAATACTCTATTTAATATATATCCAGCGCTTATAGCAATAAACACAGACTTAATTTGAGAACCCTTATAGAATGGCTATAAGTAATTATATTCGAAGCTGGGTACAGAATTTCACCAAGAATACTTTGCCGAGGCTATTTTCATTTTGTCAATGACTATGTTTATATAGACAATATAAACTCATATTGCAGGCATTAGGTTAGAATATCATATATTATATTTTGTAATTAGATTACGAAAAGTTTATGCTGAGATATGCAATTACATGATAATAGTTTTACAGCCTAATATTCCTATAATATCGTATATATATGATATATGACTATTAAAATGTTGACATTATATGAATATTATTAGAAAGTAAACGTTTTATCATAGAATTAAATCCCAGGTAAGTACAAATATTGTATTAATGCAAACTGTATAATATTAGTTTTCGAATAGAAATCAATAGAAATGAATTGGCTAACTCTATATATACCCCTCATGCCTTTTAAGGGTATTCAAACTTTGCAGTCTTCAAAGCTTACGATTATATTTTGTTTATTATTTAAAGTAATTGCTGTTAATATGTAATGCTTATTGTTACTTGCTTCCATTACATTTGCAGGTCTGCCCGCCTCACTCAGTAGTAGCAGCAGCGGCAGCAGCAACAGCAGCAGCAATAACAACAGTAATGCTGTCGATGCGATTTCATTGAAAACCATGGCACAGGAAGCCATCAATCGATCTGTGATCGAGCCCAATTCCCTAAATCAGCAGCAGGCAAGTAATATAGATACGAGACAGCAGCAACAGCAGCAGCAGCAACAACAGCAGGCGCAGCAACAAGCAGCGCAGCAATCATTGCTGCAACAGCATTTCAGCACCGAAACAACTGCCAAGCAACAACAGCAACAGCAGCTCCAGCAACAACAAGCAGCGACAGCGGCAGCAGCAGCAGCAGCGCAACAACAGCAACAACAAAATGCAGCAGCGGCAGCAGCAGCAGCTGCAGCAATTGGTACAATCGTCGCCTCAGCCAGCAATGGCCCCACAGCTGGCAGTGGACTCATGAATCTGGCGAATGCTGCTGGTCAGCCAACAGCCGTCAGCGGTGGTGTTGTGGTCACAGCCAATGCCAAGAC